TGTCTTGCAAAATTGTGATAAATTGTACTTAATACTTAAATGAAGTAATGATGTAGAATATCATCACGCAGATTATAAATACCAGGTGTTTGCAGACAAGGTGGTCTGAGTATTGAAATATAAGAGAACACAGCTTATTTTTCAGTATCAGAATACTACATATCTTGAACAAAGTTATCAGAAAAACGAAAATAAAGATACACTAATCTCTACTAATTCTATAACAAAGCAACTTATTCGGAAAAAAATCCATGATTTGGAAGGAACTTCCCTTAGCCAAACTGTGAGATCCTGGGAGTTCTTTATCCCCCACCCACCCGCCAAAAGTCCCATCCCTACTTCACAACTGCTTTTTTTCACTGAATAGTCATCTAATATGTTGTTTGTGCAAAATTAAAAATGCTTCTACACGTTTTCAGGTTGTAACCTGCTCACTTGCTCCTCCGCTTATTGTTTTAGACAACTGAGCAACACTGAGGCCAATTAAGATGCTCCAACTCCAAGGATTTCTACTCAAGAGAATTATAGATAAGGCCACAGAACATGGCGATAGAGGTCTGTTGAACAAGTTTTTTTGGGGGGGGGAAGACAAAGAAGAGTGATAATCTCTGGTGTGGGTGGTACACAGGGAATACAGGACCAAGATCAATCCAGTGTGTACAACACCATACACAAAGCACATACTATCTATGCAAAGCAGGCAGCTTAACCCATTGCATTGCAGCTTTTTTGTTTGTTTTAAGAATACCTTCTGGTGTTTTTTTTTTCCCAGATAGGAAAATTTCTTGTTAAAACAATCAAACAAAACCAGTGGTGACTTGATATCCCCAAAGTTACAAATACTTCAAACTCTATTCAGGTGACATTTTTCCAGCTTTTCTCCAAGATTGCATGTAGCTCAGAGTGGCATTTTTAGGAATGGCAGCAATTGTAACATTCTTAAGGGTTTTGGGGAAATAAACAAGCAAGCAAGAAAATAAACAACCTTAAGCTAGGTTTTGGATTAAAAGGAGGGGGAAAAATAAACAATTTCTGGTATCTTACAGCCAGAAAAAGAAGTGTAGTCCCAAAATGAAAACATTTCTGATTTCTGCCTTTAATAACTGTGAGCAGAGATAAGGGTAAATTAAGAGCAGGAATAATTTCCTTCTTGTGCCAATGAAGTTGGATTCTTCCCAACTGAGCCACACACAGAATGGCCATGGCATTCTTGTACCCCCACCCACATGTCTACGAAAAGTGTGAACCTATAGACCAAGTAGCTTCTTGTCACTGAATGCTACAGTATTCTCTTGTTTAGCGCCAAAAGGAATGAGTATACCTGTCCTCTATCAGGCCAGCATTCCTAGTACAGGTTGTAACCTGCTCACTTGCTCCGCAGCTTATTGTTTTAGATAACTAAGCAATACTGAGGCCAAGTAAGATGCTCTAACTCCAAGGATTTCTACTCAAGAGAATTATAGATAAGGCCACAGAACATGGCGAAAGAGGTCTGTTGTACAGACCTTTATCTGTCTGTCTGTTGTTTGCCTTTGCAAATTCATTCCAATACACTTTGATTCTTGCAATTTCCTTAGGGAGATTCTGCCACAGTAAGGACAGAGGATAGGTAACACAGGAATTCCACCAGAAAGAAGAATGACATACTTTGGAACTTTAAAACACAGACCAAATTTCGAAACAGGTTTTGGAAATCACTGACCAGAGAGAGGTATCTCACCAAATTGAGTAGTTGGCTAAAAGAATGATCACCAGTATGTGCATATAGCTAACCTCCGTAAATACTGTTTAAAAAGAAAAAGACTAATGATGGATTCATTACAAGCAGACTACTGCCCTCTTTATTCTTATCTGGTTTTTAAGACCTGCTGCTTTTTAAGTTCTTGTGTTTTGACCACTGTTCCATTCCGTATCAGATGCATCTTAATTGGTTTTGTATTTTATTCTTCTGTATACAACCTAGTACTTTTTAAAAAACTCAAAGGGTTGATATAAAATAACCTTAAATTAATAAAAACCTTTTCTGAACTGAAATTAACTTATTGATTTATATATTTTTATTTATATTTTGTTTTATTGATTAATCTTCAAGATGCCATAAAACCCTTTATTGTTGTTTTATTTTTATTTTTTTGAAACTAATAATGCATAGATACTGAAAGGGAAAACATCATTGTATTCAGGTTCACCGATTCAGCAGCAAGTTGACTGATGTTTCTGTTGGTCACAAAGAAATTGCCAAGTTTTCTACCCACTTCTTTGGATCCCCTGCTTGAATATCGATCTGTGACCTTGAAAAATCTGCACACTTTGCCCAGAATGGATTTTGGAATTCGCCTTATGGCTAACGTGGCTTCCTCTGCTTTTGTACATAGTTTCCATTAGAGTCGAGCACAAACTAGTGGTTTGGTGATTCAGTGCGGTTCGTTTCCTGGCCAAGCAGTTGATCTGGGCTCGGTGCCACGCCCCCTCCTATAGGTGCCCACTCAGCAGAAGCACTTGGAGGAAGCAGGAAGGGGATGCTCCTGCTAAATAGTCACCTGTCAAAGAGGGTGGGGTGCCAAATTGCAAATGGTGGGAAACATGGAAGACAAATATAGATTATTGCAATGCGCTCTACGTGGGGCTGCCTTTGAAGACGGTCCGGCGACTGCAACTGGTCCAGAATCGAGCTGCGCGGCTGGTGAGTGGTGGAGCCGCTAGAGATCACATCAAGCCGATTCTGTTTAATTTACATTGGTTACCAGTTGCTGCCCAGGCCCAATTCAAAGTGCTTGTTTTGACATATAAAGCCCTAAACGGCTTGGGCCCTGGATACTTGAAGGACCGCCTCCTTCCATATGAGCCTACCCGGCAATTAAGATCTAGCCAGGGGGCCCTTTTGAAAGAGCCATCTCTCCAGGAGGTAAGAGGGATGGCTTGTAGACAAAGGGCCTTCTCGGCAGCTGCCCCCAGACTATGGAACGCCCTCCCAACTGAAATTCGTCTGGCGCCGACGTTGATGACATTTTGGCGCCAGGTCAAAACCTTCCTGTTCCAGAAGGCTTTTAATTGAAATAACATCAACTGTGGGTCCTGATGATGGCAATTTTAATTGTATTTTAATTGTATTTTAATCATTTTATTTTTACTGTATTGAATTTTAATTTTGGAAGGCACCCAGAGACCTCTGGGTAGAGTGGGTGGCATGTAAATTAAATAAACAAATAAACAAACAAACAAACAAACAAATAACAAAAGGAGTAATGAAACCGACAACCATCTCTTTCAAAGCTCCATTGATAAGCTCATGCTACTTGTGTACAAGCTGTTGAAAAAACACCAGTGGTATTTCCCCCCCCCCCTCAAAAAGCACATGCCAAGTAATTCAGTCTTCCAGACATCTGTAACTGTGAAACAGCAAGGGGGAAAAAAACAGGAGAAGCAGCAGCAGCAACAATAACAACATGAACCAAGTGGGCAGGAGGGGGTGGGACAGAAAGAAGCTTTGAACAACCGGCTGAAAAAACAGATTTTTCAATATTTTATGTGACATGATACAACAGGCACTAAGGACAAGAGAAACACAGGAGTTGGCCTGCACTGCAGCTGGCTAAAAAAGTTGCACAGGTTTGGTTCATGGGAGGTTTGTGCTGCATTTACATCTCGCTGCTTATTCCTTTAGAAGGAAATCTGATACAGAAAGATCAAGAAGCCCTTCTCCCTGGGAGATGCAGGCCTGTGTTTCTGGCTGCCCTATGCCTGGAGATGCTGAATGTTTTGCAGGCATACAGAAAAGATTCTAAACCCTAGTGGGCACATATCTGCTCAAATAAATATAACAGACTGCAAGAAAGTATGTAGAGGTAAAAAAGAAAAACGAGTACAGTACACTCTGGATGCTGTTCTCATGAAAGACACACACAATGAGCAAATCTTGTAAAGTTAGTTTTTCAAAAGCAATTCCATTTAAAAATGTCATTTCCAATAAGCAATCAAGTAACAAGGCTGGGAAGGAGGAGAATCAAATAAGAGGTGGATTAACTCATTAACAGAATATATGCACTTGACTTTGCAAGATCTGGACAGGGGCTGTTAAGGATAGGACTTTGTGGTCACCAATTCAAAGTCACCATAAAGTGCAGGCAATTTGATAGCCCATCACAACAATTTGTTGCAATTATTTTTGACTCCCCAAAGTAGTTGTTTACCAGTATAGTTACAAGCGTGTTTTGGTGGTTGTTGTTGTTTGCAAAAACATCTTTGCATGCCCACTTCTCAAAAGTAACTTGCTAAGAAACACAGGTAAATTTTACTAAACTTAACTGTAATAAGGTGGTGTGTTTATGTGCCCATCTCTCTGTCTTCTCAATGCATTTTGGAAGAGTATATGCCTATGTCACAACCACCCTGAAACATTGGCTGAATATTTTATTTCTTTATGAAATAAATGCATGACCTGCCCTTCTATTGTCAAAGACTTACATTCCTTAAAAAAAAAAGAGTAACATCACCCAGTTCAATTACTTTATAAAAGCAATAATAAAACCAGGACAAGCAAAGCAGATTAATAAAAAAAGAAATAAAACACAACAAATTAGTTATGAAGAACTGAAATTAGGCAAATGGAAAGCTTAGTGGAAAACCAATAAGGAGGGGGTTGAACATAGACAAGAAGCTCCATAATGTGTTCATCTTACTGTTGCATGTTCACATTCTCTTTATAAAGCTTAGGAGCTCTGGAAAGAACAGAGTAGCTGAAATCCTGTTGCTTAGTGTAGTAAGTCTCAACTAGAATACGCTCATTGAATTAATAGAGTTTATGGACGAGTTAGCTCACCAAATTCCCAATGATTCAATAGTGCGACTTACTAGCAACAGGATTTCAGCCAATATGTCATTTTATCTTTATAACAACCCTGCAAGATGATGGAGGATAAGGGCTCCCGTGTGTAACATTTGCTTATCAGCACAGCGCAAAACCATGAGAAAAAAAAACAGTTATGTTTTCAGGCTCCTACCTAAACATGTCCCCGAGGCCCTTCAGCATTCCTTTCTTGGCTTTAATTTTGTCCTTCTCTTTATCTCGATCTTTCTTCTTGTCCTTCCCCACCTTTTTCCGGTCACTTTTATCTTGATTGCCATTCATCTGTCTTTCCAAAGAATGGGATGGCTGGTCACTAGATGTGGACACCGATTCTCTGCCTGATCGTGAGCTTTCCTCGGTGTCTTCCTCCACTGAAAGGGGTAAAATAATTTTAGGAAAGATGAAAGGAAAAAAAATTGAAACATGTTTTCACTGCAATGGTTTCAGATAAATACAGATTAATAAATGACCACACTTTGTGTAACCCTTACCTGTATGCGCTGGCAATATACATCTGAACACCTCCTGTTTGGGGTGGAGGGCAACCAGCATGAAGGTCTATATTATCTCCTAAACAGCTTGCAGTGGGGTCTAGACTTACGAACTTAATCTGTATTGGAAGGCAGTTCTCAGGTCGAAAAGTTCATAAGTCGAATCTTCATTTCCCATAGGAATGCATTGAAAACCATTTAATCCGTATCTGCTCTTTTCGTCCATAGAAACTAATGGGAAGCTGCTATTCCGCCTTCTGCCACTAGAGGGGGATATTTTATTCTTTTTTCCTTTTAACCTAAGATGACTTAGCTTTTAAAAAAAGGAAAGAAAAGAGTTCGTAACTCGAATCTCAGTTCGCATGTCGAGTCCATATATTCCTATGAGAGCAGTTCTTAAGTCGAAACGGTCGTATGTCGAGCCGTTCGTAAGTCGAGACCCCACTGTATATCACACCCTTCAATAAAATTCTCCAGGTGACTTTGTGGAACCAAATGGAATCAAACAGTATGAGCAAATGGATTCTATGTGCAATGGAATTACAGATACTATTTTTTTTTAATCCAGCCCAACTCTTTCCATCTGTCCACTGAAGGTTTATACTTGATCAGTAATTTTCAGTTTCACTAAACAAAACGCCCTGCAGTTGTTTTGAAAAAGAGAGACACAATAAGGACAGTACTTCGGACTCTGCAAAGGTGGCCACAGTTCTGGTGGTATTTCCACAGTTGAAAAGTGTTCTGCACAGACTTCTCCACTGTTTCACAGCCTATACAATCTCTAGTAGCAATGTCTCATCATTTATCTGATAGGTGTGAAAACACAGAACTCTCATGTAGGGCATTTCTGCTTGTTAGTAAGTGTTAACCTATGAATCCAGGGATTCCTTTAGGTATCTGAACAGATCTGTGTGCAGGAAGCACAGCTTTCTGCACATCTACCTGTTCAATGACTACTTGTAGCCTGTTTTTTTAACTTGTTTGTACAGCACAAACAGCATGCAATCCTCTGGGAGAAAGGAGGGAAAAGTCGCATTGCTGCATCCGTCTTTGGATGAAGGCTGTCTCTTGCGTCACCTGTTTTCTATGCAAAATGTCCCATGTTCAGCTCCTAGGAAGGGGTGGGAAGTCCATTCCAATTGCTGTTGATAACACAGATTTTGATTGAACTATCATGTGACCAGATATCAGGCAATATCTAATATTCTTCCTGTAATCTGATCTTAACCTAAGGAGCCTCGTGGCGCAGTGGTCAAACTGCTGTACTGCATCCAAAACTGTGCTCACAACCTGGGGTTTGATCCCAGGTCACTGGCTCAACCCTGACTCAGCCTTCCATCCTTCTGAGGCTGGAAAAATGAGTACCCAGCTTGCCGGGGGGGGCAACATATAGCCTGCATAATTAACTTGTAAACCACCCAGAGAGTGCCTTAAACTCTAAGGGGTTCATATTGATGATTTTTAGCTTGCACCTGATATTCAAAATTTTTAATTTCCTCAAACACAAATTTCCAAAATATTACCATTTCTTTAAAAAAAAAAACCACAAGAAACAAAATTATTCCTTTTTGTATGTATATTATCTCAGAGTGGCATTAGGTTACTTTGAAAGCATAAAAGGGGATTTCCTCTCTACCACCTGAGCTGCTATGCAGGCAAAACATAAACCAGGCTGTCTATGACTGAAGTGCAAATATAGATTCTATTTTAGAAAACCAATAGGGAAAGAATTATAACGCTCCTGCTCTAATTACTCCATAAAACAGGCAAAATTGCACATGAGAAACTATGGTGATTGAATGTGAGGCTCTTCTATAACTCAGCTACCAGACTGCTCATTGTGTTATTTAATACAAGCAGAAGATCTAGCAATTAAGACGCAAGAGAGATTAGAAAGCTCTGCCAATTTCTCTGGATTCAAATGAGTTGCTCTCAGACAAAACACAGAGAAAGGAAACTCTGTTTTCTTATCAGCCATTCCAAGAGTTCACAAACAAAGTACTGTGATTCAGAGGACCCAAATATGCCAAGCAGTCAGCTGTGACAATCTGATTCTAGCCACTAAAATCGCTAGCTGCCCTTCTCCGAGTTTAAGGTCTTCCCCATCTAAGAGTTTGAATAGCCTATTGTTCTGAAGAGCCTCTCTCTCTTTCTCTCTCCCTGTCTCTCTTTCTAAACAAGCTTGCAGAGGCAATGCAGTCCTATATTTCGCAGTGTACATCCTTATAATTTTAGAACTCGGCACAAGATATCATCAAGATTTATGTATAAACAATTCAATGTAACCTTTTCCCCCCAAAGGCAGAAAAGGTCACTGGCTAGCAAGAGAAAATGTTCTTTCTTCTCTAACCCACAATTTTTTCCTCTAAGACATTTGGACAGCCTTTATAATGAAAGTAGTTTTCTGAATTCACAGCTTTCAAACATTTCCTAAAAAATTAACTTATCTATAAAAAGCTGAGACCACCAATTCATTTTCTTTTTGACAGCAAACAAGGTAACAAACTAAGTGCCTCATCTTTCGTCACTTTTTGTCATTCATAAAATGTCCATGCAAACGTCTGTGAGGTGAGATCCACACAAATATATCCTTCTATGCCACATTGAAAATGTGACAATATTAAGATCAAAAATTCAATAATTTTCATGCAATTCTACCCTACGTCAGTTGATCAGCTTTTTGGGCTATTGTTTTTCCAGCAGGACCACTACTTTACTAGGTCACTAATGCACAATTAAATTATGATAAGGTTAGGCTGGAAGAGGTTCTTTCGTGTCCATGACCTCCTCCACATGTTGGGTCACTCTTGGGGTTAAAGAACTGAAAATGCAAATGAACACCCATTAGGGTGGGTAATAGCTTATCATTAACTTTTATTAGATCTGTCTAGCTTGCATATTCTAATTAAAGACCAGAGGTACCATTTCCTCACTTTATGGATGAACTTCTAATGCGGATATAACTCATTCTAACTGCAACTTATTTCTTCTTCTGTTAAACCTTAGAGGTAGAAATAATTCCCCCTTCCTTTTCCACTGCACTCATTGTCTTGCTGTCACATTCCTACCACATCATGATATATAAGAAGAGACAGCACTTTCCTCCATAAATCTCTGCAGCACCCAAACTGGGTGCCATCAGTACAACCTGAGTTAGTAAACTGCATGCTTTAATTAAGTGCTATATAAAAGACTTCCCTTCATTGGTCTCAGCTTCCCATCATTCGTCAAGCAATTTGGGTGATCCTGAGTTCCAGTATTATTAAAAAAAAGGAATGAAAGTTATTCCCTGTATGTGTCACCATACCATCTGTAATATCTACACGTAGTCCTTTTAATAACACATTTACTGCATTGTGGAAACAATGTCTGGCGTTTTGGGAGATCTGCTTTTTTGACAGCACAATAAATAATCTGTTGGAGGGACCACATGCTGGGACGCGAGCCTACATTTTGTGTTATAATTTGTAACCTATTTGAACAGGAACTGGGCAGCACCGTTGGCAGTAAGTGAATGGCGAGTGGTATCTGCTGCAGAGCTGCCATTGTCAGAGAGCTGCATCATTTGGGGCACTCAAAAAGGGCCAGACTTTGTGCTGAAAGAAACCCAGCATGGAAGGGACTGCGAGGGCAGAAGAAAGAATGAACAAGGAGGAGAATGTAAAAAAGGGAGGACAACTCATCCCCTTTGTCATTCACTTGACTATTACTTATTGTTACGAACTGTCAAGTCATCTCTGACTTACAGAGACCATGGTAAGGTTTTCAAGGCATTTGAGGTGTTCAGTGGAGAAGCCAAGCAGAGATCTGATCCTAGATCTCTTAAGCCCTAGCCTGACATTCTATCCACTATACCACACCGGCTCTCACTATTATTATTATACCACGTAATCACATTATTATTGCACAAGAAGCTACTGTAGTACCTTAACAAGGAGCAATATCTTTGAGATAGCAGAGAGAGCTCCTGTGATGCTGAATTGGCTGTGGAAAAGTAGTATACAGTGGTGCCTTGCTAGACAGTTACCCCGCATGACAGTGTTTTTTTTTGCTAGACATTGACTTTTTGTGATCGCTATAGCGATTCGCAAAACAGTGATTCCTATGGGGGAATTTCGCTGGACAATGTTTGGCTTTCCTATGGCCGATCTTCTCTAGACAACGACGATTCTTTCCCATTGGAACGTATTAAACAGGTTTCAATGCATTCCAATGGGGAAATGCTTTTCGCTAGACAATGATTTCGCTAAACAGCGATTTCAGTGGAACGGATTCTCATCATCTAGCGAGGCACCACTGTATTGGCAAGTTTAGAAAGGCAAGTGCTCACCATGGCCATTTCCACAGCCATCCCACCCCAAAAGGAGAGTGCAAAAATGCAGGCAGCCTCATTACAACAGAGATAGCTCGGAGCAATGTATTCTTCCTGAGATGAAGCATTTACACCCTAGCTTTTGTGGGGACTACAGGACAATGAGATGCTGGAGTGGAATGGGAGACAATGTCACATTCCTACTCATTAAAAAGTCCCAGGGTTTCAATGGTGAGACTCCTGGAACCATTCTACCACAGGCAGATCCTTGAAATGTAAAATAACCCTGTGATGGTGTTGGGAACAGTGCAATCCTTGGGGTTTACTCAAAAATATGCCCCATATGTTCACCCAGGGCTTACTTACAGGTTTCCATGCCTTCATCATCCTCATCTGCTACAGGTTTATCATAAGATTTGTCAATAGCTGCTCGGAAGCTTTCATTGCAACCTCGCCCTCGGATTATCCGTGGTCGTGGGCGGTGGAAGGGAATATCCCCATTCAGCGTTACCTCAGCAACTGCTGTCTGCAAGCTTTCTAATGAGCTGGATTTCTTCAGGCCTAATGAAGGACCCACATCTCTGGTTGGGGAACCTTAACAGCATTATTTAAAAAAAAAGAAATAAAAGAAAAGTTAATTAGGAATAGCAAGGAGAACCCTTACACTTGATTATTCACATTCACAGTGACAGTCTATGGGGATTATGCTTAACATTATTCACATTACCTCTGTAATCTTTGGGAATTCTAGGGAGATCTGTGGGTAGCAGCAATGAGCGTATCAAGTCAAATCTGACAAGGTTAGCTCCATGCCACTTGTGAGAAGGTAAAGTCATCATCATTATTTTAACAATTTAATGAGGGTTTTTTTATATATAGAAAGCTCTTACCCGTCCCAATCAAACATTAAAAATGTCACTCTGAACTGACTGGCATAGCCAGTTAATTTTCTTTAAAAAAAAAAAAAAGCAAAACCAATCCTATGTAACCAGTGGAAATGATGAATGTTAAAGAGATTTTATTGACCTGAAATTACCCTGCATTCTCAGAATAACATCTAGGGAAAAATTCTGCCTCACTAGCTACTTTCATGAAGTGAATGTTAATAACCTGCACTTAAATATTACACTGTTCCCGAGGGTTTGCCTACATAGATTTTCCCTAGAATTAATTAACCCATATTAGTTAATATGGTTATTATACATTAAAACTCGTGTCAACACTTATTATCAGCTAAATGTGAGGAATGTAAATTATCTTACCTTGATTAGGAACACAGATTGCCATAGCATGATAAAAGCACTGATCATCCCAAATAAACATTTACAAAGGACATATTAGCTAATAAATAACCTTAATAAAGAAAAACAATCTTGATTAACTAGAATAGCATTCAAACATTATTTTCTGAATGCCATGTATAGGTATAACTTCAATCTATGTAATGGACAAATTATTACCTCAAGAAAAAACACCTCAAGAATGGGTCTTGTAAAATTAATTATTGCCTTTTACCTCAGCTGAGTCTTTTCATCAGGTTTCTTATTGTTTTCTACAAATTATCTCCCAATTCTCAGTATTACTGCAGATCCTTAGTGCAATCATCATACTAAGGTAATCTTGGCCAAAGTGAATTTCTCTCTTTCTCCTGCACTGTTCATTGGGTGTGCAACAGGGTGTACAATCCTGTACAAAGCCGCCTAGAGTGGTCCATCAGTCCAGATAGGTGGGGTATAAATCAAATAAATAAATAAATAAATCATTTCCTCAACCAGAGCATGTAGTGGAGCACAATGAACTGCAAGTTGCAAAGTCAGGATCACTGGAATTACTGCACCTTTTCGCTGCCCTATCTTATATAGAGGTTGGCCTCTGTGTCTCAACAAGGCAAGAAAATGTACTTTTTATAGCATTTGAATTTTATCACTAGACACAGCTAAAACTAAAATTTAAATAACAGAAATTATTCTCAGAAATTTAAACCAGGCTCCTCATTGCCAACCCTGCCTCCTAGCATCTATTGCTTATGGTGGAGGATCTGAAAAAGGCATTCAACCCACGCCAACCAACACCAACTTGGGAGTTTTTTAATTTCATATGCTGGTCAGCATTTAAGGTACAAGCAAAAGGAAATCTTAAGGAGATATATTAACTTCAGACCTGGAATAAAATATACTGAAGCCCTAAATTATTCCATCCTCCCTTCTGTTAGGATATACTCAGACTTTGGCCAAATACTGAAGGGCAGGCCTTTAAAAATGTTCAAGCTTTTGTAATTGCCCATCAAAAATTACTCACATCTGGAGCAGCCCCTTCCAGAATGCTCCTCAGTTAGTGATAAAATAACAAGAATGTGTACACTCAAACACATGGCATTGATACTGTGCCAAACAATGGGAAATGTAGCTCAGCATTATCTTCTTTGATTTATGACAATACTCCAGTCCAATGCCATCTGTCTTCCCCATGTTTGCTATCTGAGACCCTTTAAAAAAAAGGTGGTAGCTTCTGAGCCTTGTACTTCTACATACAAAGTTGGTGCTCATTTAGTTGTGGCCACACGTACAGTGGTGCCCCGCATAGCGACGTTAATCCGTTCCGGATTAATTGTCGCTATGCAAAAACATTGCTAAACGGATCAAAAAACCCATAGGAATGCATTAAACTTTGTTTAATGCGTTCCTATGGGGCCCCAAACTCACCGTTCAGCGAAGTTCCTCCATAGCACCGCCATTTTCGCGCCCTCAGTAAGCGAGGGCAGGGCGCAAAAATGGTTGTGGCGCCCATTTTGGGCATCCGGCGGTCATTTTGGAACCGCCAATCAGCTGTTTAAAAAACATCGCAATGCGAAGATTGGTAAGCGAAACGCTTACCGATCATCGCAATGTGATGTTTTGCCATTGAAAACATCACAATGCGATCGCATTAGCAATCTGAAAAAATAGATCGCTATGCGGATTCGTCGTTAAATGGTGCGCTCGTTAAGCGAGGCACCACTGTATATTACACAAATCATCATGTGCTTTAGCATCATCCATTTGAAAGAGCTGTGCTAATCCTCTCTATCCTAGTTCAGCTATAGTGCCTATACCATTAAGTAGGGGCAGATACCATTCTTTACTCAGGGTAAAAGCAGCACAGGAAGACGATTATTACTGGCTGAAGAAATTCTTGGAGCTTGCTTTGGATGTAGCACAATACAGTGGTGCCTCACAAGACGGATTTAATTTGTTCCGCGGTTAATGTTGTCTTGTGAAAAATTCGTCTTGCGAAACGTGTTTTCCCATAGGAATGCATTGAAATCTAATTAATGTGTTCCTATGGGGGGAAAAAAGTCAGAACAAAGTCAAATTTGGCTTACAAAGGGTTTATTAAGGGCTCTTTAAAGCCATACATATTGTGCAGATGATTGAAAAAAATTTCAATCAAAAAACTTTAACTTTTTAAACATCATAGAAAAACATTTTAAAATCAGCAAACATGAGGCAGGAATAAAAAACGGAAAACATGCTTCTTCCGAAGCACGGCCATAGGAACAATTTGTCGTGCGAGTCATCAACCCCCCCCCATTGCCAAAACCATTTGTCTTGCGAGGTTTTTTTTGTTTTGTTTTTGTCCTGCGAGAGATTTGTCTTGAGAGGCACCACTGTATCAGTATTTACAGCTATCACATCCAAAGTCAACACTGCCATGCTGATGTCTGGCTTCTGGTAGGAGAGGAACAATCAGGAGACTACACGAATGTCAGGATAAAACACTGCTGTTTCCCAGCCCAGAAGACAAGGCTGAGCTTGAGTTGTCTGTCCTAGAGAACGAGTGGTACCGAAAACATGGTCAGGACTCAGGGACAGAAGAGATATCTTAACAGATATCTAGAGGGACTGCACAAGATTCACAAATAGGCAGATCACTTACACACAGACCAGGCATCAGCTCTTAAGTGTTATTAAAGCCTGCTGAGATTTCTCCCACTCAAGATTCTAAAAACAAAGTGGTCCATGTTAAGGGAAACCTAGCTACCCTTAATTGTGCTTAACAATTAACTAAATGGCAGAGGAAAACGTGTTTTCTAGGCAACTGCAGGCCAGTGGGGATTCTACTGTATCTCATCTAACTGACATGACTTATCAATCTTACTTTAAGTGGAATAATAAATTCAACTTTCTGCTTACTGACTTAACACCTATTTTGTGACCCATTTTTCAGTTAGAAGGGCTAATGGAGGAATCCACAAGGGCTTAAACCTTCATTTAGTGGGGAGACTGCAGACTAATATCTTGGCACCTTGTTTTGAACACGATCTACAATCTTGCTTTGTCTGCACTCTGCTTTCAAGTAGAGTAGCTACCAGATCTATCCATATTTTAGAGGATCTTGCAATATTTTTGGCCATCTCATGAGAAGAAAAGACTCCTTGGAAAAAAACTTGATGTTAGGAAAGTGTGATGGCAAGAGGAGAAGGGGACGACCGAGGATGAGATGGCTGGACAGTGTCTGCGAAGCAACCAACATGAATTTGACACAACTCCGGGAGGCAGTGGAAGATAGAAGGGCCTGGCGTGCTCTGGTCCATGGGGTCACGAAGAGTCGGACACGACTAAACGACGACGGCAATTTTTTTCCCTCCCTTCTCTAATTTTGGAAATCAAAAACCTCTCGACAAGCTATGGAGAGCTTGACAGGCTGTCTTTTAAGTAGACTAGTAAAGGTATTTCTTATTATGCGTGCTGTAAATCAGAATTTACACAATTGATAGAAAAAACTATTTTAAAAAACTGATTTATAATAACCCTAATAGGGCTTTCAAGGTAAGTGAGATACTTAAAGACTGGTTTTACCAATTCTAAACACCCAGTGAGTTTCCATGGCTGAGCACGGATTCGAACCCTGTTCTCCAGAGTCCTAATCTTTCACTCTATCCACTACACCAGTGATCCCTACCTTGGGCCTCCAGATGTTCTTGGACTACAACTCCCAGAAGCCTTCACCACCACCTCTGCTGGCCAGGATTTCTGGGAGTTGAAGTCCAAGAACATCTGGAGGCTCAAGGTCAGAGACCACTGCACTACACCACACTTGAGTATTTACTAAAGATATTTCTAACCTAAATTTTTGATTCTACATAGGGATCTTGATTGTTTTTTGAGAACAAGGCAGCTCAGGAAGCAGTTGCAATAGAAGTTTAAAAGCATGAAAATTAAGCCGTGAAAACTCACAGGTTTGTATAAATGCAATGAAGACACACCTCTACAAAGTACCTTCCATTCCACATTTTCCCAAGGCTGCAGGGGAGAAAATGACCGGGGGATAACAGGAGTCAAGGGCCAGCTGACTAGGATGAGCAAGGAGCAGGAGAAAAAAAAGGTTTCCAGCTGTGTAAACAAACCTAAGCCTATGCTTGCAAAATATTTAGAATGTCTGGTGTGACACTGTATTATACATGCGTTTACCTCCCCTCCCTTTTTAGAAGAGAATTTTCTGCCGTTGATGTGTGGGGAAAAAAAAGGTTTTACACTATCCTGCATTTTATGTGGACTTCACAGACATGGAACTTTGCTAGCAAGTTTGAGGAGTGATTTATTTTTCAGGGTTTA